CACACACTCACTCACTCACACACACACACACACACACACACACACACACACACACACACATATACTGTATATTGCATTAACTTAGATTATTAGTAGTTATGTGACATTTTCATGAATTTCCCTCATTAAATTATAGTAATGCAATAATATATGTTTTTTCATTCAATACTGTATACCTCACATGTTTTCTTGAGACTGACCTTGATATTCTTCAGCAAAGTATAGTGAAATCAAGCTACTAGACAGACAGTACTAGTTGTAAGCATTTAACCTTGATAAAGCTGCTAGTGGAGTCTGATATCAGCTTTCTATTCCTGTCTGTGTAACACTATGAGAGGAGGAAGTGATATTTACAGTAGACAGGAAGTCCCGCCTTCACAAACATATCTGTGGCTGGATTCTGGTACATCTAATAACAAACACACTCATGTGGAAACAAACATAGTGTCAGACTAACAGATCAGCAAAAAAAAAAAACTCAATACCAGATGAGAGCTCATCTGTTACAGCACTATTTATTTGATTTGATATGCATATAGCTCTTTTGGAATTTTTTTTGTATACATTGTTTTTTTAAATATGTGTAGGTTCATTATTGTCAAACACACCTTAATGTCTCTATGAAGTCTCATGAATGCTGGTCTGGAGGTTCGCTGTGAACACACACACACACACACACACACACGTACATGCACACACACACAACTATTTGTAATTATCAACATTTTCAATTAAAAATAAAATGATGCTTAAATTGTGAATACTAACCTATTGTGTCAATTATGCATCAAAATAAATATGTACACATGAAATGATCCACTTCCTCTTTCTCCTGCATCTCTGGACAGAACATTGCATTATGGGGAAAATAATAAAAAAGTAGTTTTCATACTGCATTGACAATTATATTAATAATTGCTTAAAATATGAATAAATCTAAAAGAAAAAAGTAAAAAAAATTAAATTATGAATTACAATTAGAAACAAAAAAAATGTAATACAATTTTTAATCTGACAGAAATATCTTTAAAAATATGTGTGGTACTTCTACAATGTATAAGAAACTGTTATTATGAGTAAAATCCCATAATTATTATTCATATATTATTCATACGTCACTGGCAATAATAAAAAATAAAGTAAAAAAACATGAACTATACTAAATTATAATTAAAGGAAAATCTGTAATCTAATAGCAATATTTTTTTCATATTCACATTATAGATACATTTTTACGAATAAGAAATAGTCATTATAGATAAAAAAAACTAAAAAAACTATTGTTCACACTTCACTGGCAATGATCATGAAAATAATAATAACAATAATAATTGCTTAGAAATAAGAAAAACTATTTGCAAATAGAGTACTGTAAGTAAAAAATAAACTACCAAATTATAAATTATAACTACAAACTATTGAAACAAATAATAAAAAGATGAAACGCTAAAAAAACTGACTCAAAAATAGGAATATCTCTAAATTAACAGCAATGTGAATACATTGTGGTGCAGTTTTTAAAAAATACGTTTCACTTATGAATATATTACAATCTATGTTTGAATTTATGTTATGAAACTAGTCATCTTCTAGTTTCAGCAGAGATCTCAAGCTGAGCACTGATTGGCTGAAGTCTGATCTCAGGATGAATGAGAACCTTTGACCTGCACTAGTTTGCTCTGGCTGTGTCCTGTTGAGTTGCTGTGAATGTAAATGAATGCTTATTGGATGTGTGTGTTTGCAGGAAGTGTGTGAGCGCCGATAAGAGCCGCTGCCATCCAGTCTGAGTCTCATTCATCAACACACAGCCTTCAGAAGTACAGCTGAACGTTTGACATCAGCTATCATCATTACTGATGAAAGCAGCCTACAGTAGTGCTCGGCTTGAATTCTTTTAAGAGCTTTTATTCAGCGAGGCTGCATTAAATTGATCAAAAGTGACACTAAAGGCTTTTATAATGTTACAAAATATTTCTATTTTAAATAAATGCTTTTGAACTTTCTATTCATCTGTGAATCCTGAAAAATGTATCACCGTTTCAACTAAAATATTGGGCACAAGTGTTCTCAGCATTGATAATAATCAGAAATGTTTCTTGAGCAGCAAATCAGCATATTAGAATGATTTCTGAAGATCATGTGACACTGAAGACTGGAGTAATGATGCTGAAAATTCAGCTGCGCATCACAGAAATAAATTACAGTTTAACAGATATTCACACAGAAAACAGTTGTTTTAAATTGTAATAATATTTCACTATTTAACAGTTTTTACTGTGTTTTTCATCAATTAAATGCAGCCTTGGTGAGCAGAAGAGACTTTCAAAAACATTTAAATGTAACTAATTATTCACTGAAAATCTGTGATGCTTCATCAATGGCTGGTTTCTTCAGGTCATCACTGGATGAAAAGACACAACACGCAATCAAAACACAAGCATAAAAAAATTGAATGATGACAAAAAAAGCATAAAAAACAAATGATGTTAACTGACGATGCATTTCTATAGGGTTAAATGATCAGTATCAGTCTGATTAGAGCAATATGAGAAGTAGATATTACACATAATTCATCATTCAATTAATTTCAAAACATGTTGACAAATAATAAGACAAATAATAAACTGAAAGAAATTATCTCTCCTGGGCTGACAACACCACAGCACTGGCCAAGAAAGCACAGCAGCGTCTCTACTTCCTAATTGACAATAAAGCAGACTTGACTTGACTTGACTTATACTGGAGTCATATTTCACTCCAAAATCTAAAGAAATATTGTAATATTTTGCATAAAGAAATTGAATCCTGTTTTAAAATTTTACTCTTTTTTTTCAATGCAGTATTTCCAAAAGACAATTTCCCTCAAATTCTCATTATGGTAAATGAAAACAACAACAAAACCACAATAAATAAATAAATACATACATAAATAAAACAGTTATCCTATTGGTTGTACATTAAAAAAAACTGCATTTCACTAGAAGAATGAAAAATTCTAAAGCTATTTTTAACACTTGATGTCTGTAATGATGTGTATGCAAGACAATGCACCATAAATGTGGCCGACACTCTTTGCATGTCATTTGTTTTTACCCAGAATACACTAAACGTGCTTTTAGACCTGAGAAGAAACAGATTCACTCACACCAAAGCACAATATAAATCAGATTTAAATGCAAAACCAAAAGAAAAGTTTATTTTCCAAATAGTCTTTATTGGTGTGGTTTGTTTTTATTTTTACATCATCATCATCATTACCAGCTAATGATCTGTTCAGACACACAGGCCGTGGAGGTTTACAGACGTTACTTGGTTCGGTTCACATGCACTGAGCTGCAGAAATGACAAAGCCTAAAGTACAGCGCAGACCTTCCTCAAACCAGTGACCAAAATATATACAGTCTCACACACACGCACACACACACTAATACACACACACACACACACACACACACTCTCTCACACACACACACACACACACACACACACACTCTCTCACACACACACACACACACACACACACACACTCTCTCACACACACACACACACACACACACACACACTCTCTCACACACACACACACACACACACACACACACTCTCTCACACACACACACACACACACACACACACACTCTCTCACACACACACACACACACACACACACACACTCTCTCACACACACACACACACACACACACACACACTCTCTCACACACACACACACACACACACACACACACTCTCTCACACACACACACACACACACACACACACACTCTCTCACACACACACACACACACACACACACACACTCTCTCACACACACACACACACACACACACACACACTCTCTCACACACACACACACACACACACACACACACTCACACACACACACACACACACACACACACACAAGTTACTGAGGGCAGACTGTAGATCAGATACTCAAACGCTAGAGCTTCACACCAGACGTCTGAAGAACTACAAACCAAACGCCCCAAAAATCAAACGCTCATTATTTCACACATACAGTACATTATTACACTTTAAAACATATTGTACATTATACTATACCATGAAACATGAGAAATGGGATTGATTTTGATAATATTGAATATTGTTTCACTATCCAAATAAGGCCATTTTATCCTTTAAAACCCAAACTGAGCATTGAAGAAGTGATGCAGGTTCAATAAAAAGTATCATTTCCAACTCACAGAGGAAACAAAAACACATTAAAATGGACATTAAAAATGTTGTAACTATTGCCACTAGACTTGAAAACATATAAATAAAATCTTAAAACTATATCCAATTTTTAACTTGCATTATTATAAATGTGACTTTTCTTTGATTTTACAAAATTAAGGATGTCTGAATTATTTTCATGGCAGATTCTGTACATTTTAACATGCTTATATAAATTCCTGTTGTGACCATGATTATGATATTCAGCACATCTGAAATTAGCCTTACAAACAAACAAAACAAACAAACAAAAATATATATATAAAAAACTATAACGTTTTCATAGACATCCATAAAATTACATATATAAAAGATGACAATACATAAACCATTATTTAAAAAAAAAATAAATAAATTTGAAACTCTTCGTTGAAATGGAGTAAAGCTTAAAAAAGCAGAATGACAAGGTTTTAAAAGGTGAGATTTAAGCGTGGGCCGGTTCGAGTCAGTTCAGTGTTCACAAACACAGACGATCAATCTAAACATAAAACTTCAGAATTCATGTTGAATGATTACAAACATACTGTACACTCTCGATCACTTCCAAAAGATCTGTGAGATTATGGCATTATAGATATTGACTCTATACAGAACGCTCAGTGCACCATAAAAAAATATCGTTTTCCAGCAGTGTTGTAAGATGCTTAAAATAAGATGCATTTATTTGAGAAGCAAAATGTTATGGTATGGTGAATGATGTACTTTTCATACCTCACTGGCAATGTTAATAATAATAACTATATTAAATAAAAAATTATAATTATACATTTTTTTTTAATAAAATAATTTGTATAGTAATAATAATAACTGTTTAAAATAATAAATAAAAGAAACAATTTGGCCATAAAAAAATAACTATACTAAATTATAAATTATAATTATAAAGCTAAAAAACTGTAATAGACATTCATAAAATTATATTGATAAAAGACGACAATAAATAAAAGATGTTTTTAAAAGGAAAAAAAATATTGGTAACTGTTCCTAGAATGGAATATGTATTTTTAAAATAATATATTTATAATAAATTAATAATAATAATGAAAATAGCTTAAAAAACGATTCTAAATTCTAATTATAAATTATAAAGCTATAAAATTATAATAGACATTCAAAAATTTGATTAAAGATGACAATAAATAAAAAGTTTTTAAAAGGAAAAAGAAATATTGGAAAATGTTCCTCAAATATGAATTTTTATAATCCAAATATATATATATACACACGTGGTTTGAATGTTTAATTCTCAAGTAAATGCATCTCGTTTTAAGGATGTTCAAGAATTTATTTAAAAACAAGACAAAAATATTGACTGAATGTTTTTCTGCAGTGTGCTGACCTGAATAGAGGAATTCTGCATGTTTTAATGAAGACAATCTGAAACAGTATAACAGACCAACGTTGATCTATAATAAAATTAATCTTACTTATGAAAAATACAGAGAAAGTAATATACAAAAAGGAGCATGTCTGACAACACGACTGATAGAAAAAGACAGGACTCACATGATTCCCACTTGATTCATACGTGATGTTGATATGTTGCTGCTCCAGCGGTTTCACAGCAGCTTCTAGCGTCACATGATATCGCAGTCATCTGCAGCAATGCTTTCAGTCTCCAATCTTCACATTTTATCACATATTTTAACTGTATTCCACTCCGAACATCTCAGATGTACAGTACACAAAATAAAAATATATCATGTAATTACATGCAATCACAGGGAGGAGTTCATATTGCATAATGAGGAAGCTCCACGCTGGACGCATGGATAGTGACCGATCAGGAAGAGTCACGTCGTTCAGAGGAGCTCATGGAATGATTGAAGACATTAAATCTAGTCTAGTGCATTATGGGAAACTGACGAGATGTATTTGAGGGAGTCGACGCACGTCCTGACGTCTGGATTCACAAACACACTGGATTTTCTGCGAGCTAACGTTGTTCTTGAGGGGAATCGATCAGGAAGTGGCACCCAGGTAGAAAAGGATCAGGGTTTTTGTCTGGAAGGTTCTTCAGTTCATCTCGCTCGTGCTCAGAAGAGCAGAATGCATCCTGGAGAACAGCAAAACCGCTTCAGACCCACAGAGAGACGTCTACTGAACATCCAGATTACTGTAGAGACAGAGACAGAGACAGAGGTTCATGAAAACACTGCATCTGCTTTGCACACTCAAGTACATACTTACAGACAGTGAGTATGCAGTGAGACACTACCAACCAAAAACCTGCATCTTCAGACCTCAGAGCATTTCCTTATAATCAATGCAAACATTAGCATCTCTCTACAATCATTCATTACCTGCAAATTCTCCAATTATATTACTTTTTATCATTTAGGCTTATTTTGTGTATGTATATACAGTATATATATAGTGTACTTTAGAATAGGGAACACTTATTCACTATTAACTACGACTTTTCCCTCAATAAACTCCTAATTTGCTGCTTATTAACAGTTAGTAAGGTAGTTGTTAAGTTTAGGTATTGGGTAGGATTAGGGATGTAGAATATGGTCATGTAGAATAGGGCATTAATATCTGCTTAATTAGTACTAATAAATGGCTAATATTCTAGTAATATGCATGCTAATAAGCAACTAGTTAAGAGACCCTAAAATAAAGTGTTACCATATAGTGTAAAGTTTTTGTCTCACATTGTTCAGTTTTATTTTACTATATCTTCATTAATACTATAAATGAGCTATAAATGTTATGCATTTTCTAACAAAATAATAATATAAATTATTTATATTAATATTATAATATTTTATAATATCAATATAATTAACTACGCACATATAGTTTATTTATTTAAGGTGTGATATATATATTTTTTAATCATTTTGGAATTAGCATATGGAAAATAAAACCTTTTCATAAGTAATGAAAATGCAAAGCTTTTGTCTAAAATTCTTCTGAAAACAGTCACTCCTCACTGTTCACAGTGCAAGGAGGAATATAAGACCAAAAATAATGAACGGATGTTTATTTCAGAAACAGTGCACAAACCAGACATATTTGGCATCCTTCATTATAATATAATTTATTTTAGGATGCAATAACCCAAATTTTTCATACTATACAGTACAGATAGTATGCAAATTTGGATGCAGCCCTCGAGATTCCTCTACTAACTGCATGAACTGCACACACACACACACACACACACACACACCACAGGCTCTTCTGTGTGAGTGTGTGCGCAAACAGTCCAAGGGCATGCGTGTGTGTGTGTGTGTGTGTGTGAGTGAGTGTGTGTGTGAGTGTGAGTGATGTGACTCAGCAGCTGAAGCGTCCCGCAGCTCATGCTAATGAACGTATCTGAAGGACACACACTGTCACAGCAGCACTTCACTGTTTAAAACAACAGTTCACTCCAAAACAAACATGCTGTCGTTACAAGTGCAAGTCTTTTGGAATAATAAATAAGGAAATAATTATGCAGTTTATTGGACAGCATTCCAGCTAAATATCTATTCATAATCCATTTTAAATATTATATACTATAATTATAAATATGAATAATATAA